TCAAGCTATTCTTCAGCTTTCCCCTCCTCCTCCTCCTTCTTCTCCTTCTTTCTTGGTTCGCTTTCAACATTTAACATGAAACAGTGATATTTATCATTTGGACGTTGTAGTTTCCCCACTTTTTTTATCCAAGTGACTCTGTTTGTTCCCAGTCAAACACTCTGTGGAATAGTTTGATTTTTCAGCCAACGATGCGTTAGAAATATAATACTAAGTTCGTAAACTACAGTTAGATATACATATATTTTTTTTCCTTTTTTGACAGTATTTTAAACTACTGGAATTTATATGTTATATCATTTGAAAACGACATAGAGAAACTTTAAAACTTCTTTGTATTTTACGTAAGCTGCTGGGGAAAAGAAATAACAAGACAACGAAGGCAGATAAAATTTCTTGGCTAATTTTGACTGTTTAGCAACAACAACAACAACAATGACATAAATTAATGCATTCCTCTTGTTTATTTATTCGGTAAAAAACAAAAAAATGAGACTTCAAAAGTAATCAAAATGAATTTTATGTGAATGAGAGATTTGTTATGAAATTATGTAATAAAAATGTATGCTAATAAATATGTGACATCAGTCAGTAGTAGACTAAACATACCTGTTGTTTTTGACTATGTTACTGTTACTTTTAATATAATTGGTAGTAGTAGTAGTAGTACTAAGTCTTTTTCCGTTATCTTGAAGTACTTTCTAGCAGTAGAAGCAGATTATTATTATTTATCCTTCACGTTCCCAGTGGAACATAGGGCTTCAAGCTTGTGGCTTGAAGTTTCCGTAGCAGTGTTTATTTTACAGGATGGGGTCGCTAGCCTCATGCCCAACCTTTCCTCTTTGCCAGCATTATTTCTGGCTTAGTCAGGTAAAGGAGTGCGTCGGGCGGGGATCGAACCCCGGAGCATGTGCACGGTCGGCGAGCGTCCTAACCGCTATGCCACCGACGCACGTAGAAGCAGATAATCATATCATATCGAGAATTCCAGCTGTAGGTTCATATATGCTAAGTTTCTCTTCGCTCAGAAATGTCATTTTGCACCAACTTATCCATCGGTTTTTAAATCCCCAAAAGCTGGTCAAATTCTTAGAATAATAATTAGGCTGAAGATATTTGAGAACTATGAGTCAGGGACTAATGCTGATTCATGCATCATTAATTAAATGGAATCAAGAAATAAGTGACACGTATTCAGAAACTCCTTCCTAACAACTGCGAATAAATATAAAACCGAGGTTTTTGAAGCTATCTGCCAATTTTCTCAAATCATCCAACATTGAATGAGGAAGCATGTCGTCATGGGAGGGGGGGTCTCGTAAATATGAAAACCCTGTGAGCTGGTTGATAGAATTTTGTCAGCACCATTAAGTAATACTACACACATTTCACTGGTTGTTCCATGGCTACCGATCAATAATGGCTATCATACGCCTGCAGGAGTTCAACCGTTGGTTCGAATCGACTGATGCTGATATCTCTGACTGCAGCACTGTGATGTGGGTTCGAATCTCGAACGAGAGATTAGTTCCTTCTTGGGTGAAGGAAGATACACCATAGCTTATGTGTCCCAGCAGACGTGAAACCTAAGTGCAGGGCTTTGTTTTGGTTGTATCAAACCACCTTATATTATTATTTTGGTTGAAGACAACGTCTTGCCTCTAGACTGATAACACTCAATCGCCATGCGAATACTCTTGAAACATAATAATATACTCGGAAATATATGTATTTCGGATCAATGGAAGTGGAGATTAGAATTTAGAGCACATATTTTAGCACCATGATTTATCGAAATTGATTCACCGTGAATGCACATTGAGTAAAACGCTCAGAATAACCCTTAAGTATCAATCCAAGACTTAAAAGGTTTCTCTGTCAATCATGTGTCAGAATGCAAAATAGCATTAGCTTTCATCAATAAATATTGATAACTAATCAATCGGTTAATCATCTTGCATCTTGCAGAATTCATACAATTAACTAAAAAGGAAGTAATTAAGTAAATCGCTTCACATTCAAGTATTAGTTTGTAGGGATTTGGTTAATTGCTTACAGGATTTCATCATGAGCTGACATTAGTTAGAGAACCATTGGAAAACCTGCATGGAGTACTGGACCGCTGTTTCGTCCTAGTTTGAGACTCTTCAGCAGTACGCACTCACCGGGATTCGAACACAGGACCTTCTGGTTACAAGGTGAGCTAGCTCGTAGACCATTCATCAGACACTGAGACCCAATCCAATGACCAGTGCATGAATTCCAACTTCTGCCAATTCACAATATAGCGCATCCACTAGCCAATGTCTTCGGCTAGTATTTGTCCTCACGCCCGACGTGCTGCACCCTACTGGTCACGGCTGCCCACTGGAACCCCAGGTAACTAGCTACCTACCTAAATAGGGCAAGTCGCCAGTGAGCATCTAATTCGTATTCAAGTTTTGGTTTGTAGGGATTCGGTTGATTGGTTACAGGATTTCATCATGAGCTGACATTGTTTAGAGAACCATTGGTCGAGTGTGAGGACGAATACTCGCCGAAGACATTGGCTAGCAGTTGCGCTGTATTGTGAATTGGCAGAAGTTGGAATTCATGCACTGGTCATTGGATTGGGTCTCAGTGTCTGATGAATGGTCTACGAGCTAGCTCACCTTGTAACCAGAAGGTCCTGTGTTCGAATCCCGGTGAGTGCGTACTGCTGAAGAGTCTCAAACTAGGACGAAACAGCGGTCCAGTACTCCATGCAGGTTTTCCAATGGTTCTCTAACCAATGTCAGCTCATGATGAAGTCCTGTAACCCATAAATCGCTACAAACTGGTCAACAATTATTATGCAAGTAGATTAAACTACTGATTCCAGTTAGTAGTGCAAGCACACAAAATTAGCTAGTGTACAGTAGTGATATATGAGTTTAATTTTATATACTTTTCTTAAATATATATATTATAGGTTCGATCACGAGGTGACATCAGTTAGAGAACCACTGGAAGTCCTAGACAGCTATTCCTTCCTATATTTGGGACTCCTTAGCAGTTGGCACCCATCGGGGTTCTAACTCGGTACCTTCCAGTTATAAGGAGAACTCGTAGACCATTCAGCCACTGAGTCCCGATCTAATGACTCATGAATTCCATCTTCTGCCAATTCGTCATTTATAGGCGAGTAACTGTTCTTGGAGGACTTCGCTGGTAACGACTTACATATATATATATAAACCAACATATGACTGGAAAAGTTTAACAGGAGAAAAAAATGTTTCATTAGTATTGACGAGTTTGTTCCAAGCCATTCGTCAGTGAACATTCCGAATAACAAACTTGTCAGTCTTTAATGACAGCAAAGTTGTAACATTTAAAAATTTTGCATAAATGAGACAATGAATGTGTTTACATCTAATGACGTAAATGAATCTTAAAGTCTGCATTTCAGCAAATGACTTTTGTCTTCCTCTTTACCCCCCTTCCTCTCATGCATTAATTTCCCCAGCCTATTTAGTTTAGATTAGAAACAGTAGTAAACAATTTTAATTGGTGGTGTGGATGGGTAGATTGAGGGAGAGTAGATTTCCTCTTCAAAATATTGCATTCCTTTCATTTTTGGCTGTTTAATTTAAAGCGTGATTTTGTTTTTAAATCTTTCAATACATACTTAGCTCATACGCATAGAACCTAGACATGATTTTGTTTCTTGTTACAACAACGTCTTTTTGTGTCTGTAGAGACGATTTGAAGATTAAAACAAGGCTTGAAATTGTTTTAATTTTATGTAGGAGAAACAGAGAAAATTTACGAAAAACTGATTAATGCGAGGTGCGATGTGTAATTTGAATGTACACATGAAACTGGATATCATTACATAAAGTAATAGTGAACTTTTGAGCGTATACAGATGCATCATTAGTCTGTTAATTTACACGCACAAACGATTTTGCGATTCACATTAGCTGACTTGGTAAATTTATCTTTTTTTCTCCACCACTTTAGTCTAGCAATTTTTATTCCTTCAACTTTCTGTCTCAAAGATTGCTCTTTACTTCCATTCTTCAAATTAAGTCTAAATGAAAGTAGTATCAAAAATGATACAAGGCTTAGTGATGTAACTGTGATGATCAGCTAACAGGGCTGAGAAAACACCAGACACTTCCCTGTCAGCAGATATTCAATCTTAACTGTGATTTATCCGTATATTAGACTGTTATTAGGTTTCATTGTGATAATGGGTCGTCATCTGTTTCGAAGAAAGTGAGAAATGATTTGACCTACCAGTCAAACAGTTTTTGTGTACACGAAGGTTTTGGATGACCCACTGTCCCTCAAAAAGTTTTACTGTTACTATTTGTACTACTATTATTATTAGATGTTTGGAGGCGATCGGTAGACAGCCTTGGATCCAGGTCTCGTGCTAGATGGCACTCACCAGTCTGTAGGGTGTATCTAAAATCTTTAGGGAACCCATGTCCCTTTTGAGATTCCAACCCGCGTCACCCAGTGGCACAGTCAGAGACGTTATCACTGGACTATTCAGGCTGGGGATTCACCTCCCTTCGATGTGTATCAGGTACTCTGATTAGACATTAACTAGTGTCATGCGTCTAATCCTTCGTATTGCAGCAGACTGAATTCTTTCAGTCACCACAATACACAACAAGTACTGATAAACATTTACTGCTGGAAAAGTAACAGAAAAAAATCATGAAACATTTCCACTGTCAGTAAGTAAAACTGTTGACATACATCATATCCAAAATTGAAAATTTATTTATTTATTTATTATTCATTCCGTTTAATTAATTCCTTTCGCCTCACTGACAGAACCAAAAATGGTAAACAAGAAAATATCGCTAAGACGACAAAGTAAACATTTCACTGAAGAAATATAATCACCAATAGCCAAAAAGGTAACTCAAAAGATGGATGAGAAAATGATGAGTATGATTTGAGAAGAAAAGGCAAGCAAACAAACAAACAAACAAAATACAAATTAAACGGTCACAACTTACAGAAGAATCTATTCACATAATAGTTTCACAAAATCCGCGTTAGTATTGATCAGTTTGTTTCCCGTACATTTCCACGCCGATTGTGAAGCGATGAACCCATTTTGCACAAACCCGATGTGTACACCGTTAATGAATAACATAAGTGATACATCCAGTTGACGAAGCAGAAAATAAACAACAATGGTAAACAAGAAGAAGCAGAATAAGTCAAATAGATGAATGAATGGATAAATAAACAAACAAAAAAAATAAATTAGAATAAATCAAAAAACAATAAATAAATAAAATAAAATACTTTTTTTGTCTGAAAATAAAATTTGGATTGACTATTATGTTTCTTAAAGACTATCTAGGCCTCTTTTTTGCAGTTGAACAACAAACAATTGCGCTGAAATTTAAACCAATTATCTTAAATTTGTTTACGGTTCGAGGAGAAGAAAGGAATTATAATAAATTCCAAGTTGAACCAAATAAGTGCAACAACAATTAAAGTTGTTTTGCCTTTTTTTGTATTATTTATTCATATATTTTTTCAGAGTTGTAGGTAATAGGTGATACAGACAGCTTAGCTCTGTGTTTACAAGTAACCTTTTGAACAATTGAAAAAATAACTACGCTTTGATTAACAGTCAGGAGGTTTGTTTGAAATTAGATTTCACTACTGGAATCATAAAAGCAATGTACATACTTTAATAGTTTGATTTTAATCCTGATAAAAGTGAAACTGTGATTTCAAAGTATTTACTCAACTGATTTTAGCTATTCTAATGATTGGCTGTTCAACTTTGTCAAGTTGAAGCTCAATGATCTAAGCACTTGACTTCCAGTCAGTTAGATCAACGGTTCATACTCGTCTCTGCCTACTTCAGTCTGAATTAGTGAATGTCGACATTACTTCAAAAGTGTTACTCAGTCTATTTAGAAAAGCTCTACTCTTTCTTCTAATTAAAAAAACTACACTTCTAACAGCATCACCCGACGACTTTTTAAGACTAAGCCACCACGATAACAATCCACCACCTTCAAATTACAAGGGGAAACTATGACCGAACAACAACAACGTTTTTTCGCGACATGAAGCCTCAGCTTCTACTTACATTTGAAAATTAATCCACCACTAGCTAATAAAGTGACCATAGGTATGCTAATACACAGTTGTAGTTTCTGATAGTGCTTAACTTGTAAATTTCATTTAGACGCTTGTAGCTTTTATTATCTTACATTTGTTATGGTGAATTCAGTTCATCCCACTACTTGGATTATGGGAAGTGTGTTTTTCTGGATATTTTCTATTTCCTTCTAACATTGTAAAAGCTAACAAAATGAAGTTAAGATGTCTGAATGTAAGATTTTCTGTTATTATTCTTGTATAGAAATTGGGAAGACATTCCCGAAATATACACACATATGCGTAACAGATTCTTCAGGTTGTCTATATACTGAAAGTCATTTTCTTAATTAGACTGACTAACACCAGTGATTTACACGTCATATTGGTGAACCGAATGGAACAACCGAATTTTGATATGGACACTGAATGAATCATTCCATCTATACTGGCTTGATTTCGCACTTTTGATTGCTTGCTTAATACTTGCTAGCAGTGGAATCCTTGAAGCGTATTTCATCCTTTCTTTGGCTTGATCAAATGCGTACACATGCACTCAGTGAAGTAATACTGTTCCCACGAAAAATCATAGCAGGCGTCCTCCATTTTATTTATTGCTTTGGTGGAGTATGAGGAACAACTCTGGTGTCTCTTTCACTGGACCGAAATTCTGTGTCTTTTATTTGTTTTGTTACTAACAAACAATGACCTCTGACCTTCTTTATGAGTTAACATTGCATGTATGAACCCATTGAGAAGATAGTGAATGACATCATATGCCAGGCTATCTGTCGAGTGGAACTCGAATGGGAAACGAAGAATTGGGTGTCGCTTGAAGGGTGACACAGTAGAGATGAGAAGCACAGCAGAGAACAAGATAAAATGGAGACATGCTGTTGAAACCTTATGTTCCACTCGGAGTCTAGTCGAATAATAATAATAATATAACACCCTTATTAAATACAGCTTTGAAGTGAAGTTACCAAAAAAGATCTCCTAGCTGACTTTTGTGTTTTTAATTCTCTGCCTGCAACTCCAGCGTTCGGCTGCTTCAAAACTGACAGGATAGTGGTTTCAGATATCGAAATTACGAGTGTCGAGTTTTAACCTGTGAACAGACAGCACTATTCAATTAAATGCAGATCAGTCAACTAACAATTTCTGCCTACGTTGATATGTGCACTCTGGATATCCCTGCAGGTAACCACAAACACAACGAAACTTCATTTTGGTTGATATTTATTAAGATTTTCTACTGGTAATATGAATGGTAATAATATTTCTGTTATTGCATAACGACTTATAATGGAAAGTAAATGTCGAATTATTTAAGTGAATTTATTTATTAAAACTTGTTTGTTTTTTCAAAAATAAATGTATATCAGTCAATAGATAGAATGAAAATTTATTTGTTGAAATAAACATGGTCACGGCATGCATTTCAATCTTGAAAGATGGAACACACCTAGATGACATGAGTTATTATGAACAGACTTCAGACATAATCACACACACACGCACACATGATATATCTCTTGATGCGTCTTGTGTGATTTATTTATATCAGAAATGGTTTTATTCACTTAATCAGTTATTATTATTATTTTTAAAATCATTTTCTTTTCAATATAATTCAAGTAGAAAAAGGGAAATCATTAGAATTGAATTTCCGTGGAATACCACACTTTTAATCATATACTAACAATGAATGTAACTCCTGTGGAAGACTGTAAGCCCCAGTCGACTAAACTGTACCCTGTCTAAAATGATAAAAAGACAACAGAGTTAGAAAGCACCAGGCATGTTATTACAGATTCATCGTAATTGCCTCATGAGTTCTTCTGGCTCACCTAAAATCTGTCGTTTATTGCTTCCTCCCTCGAATCATTTTAAAAGTGGTATAATTTACATTTTATGGTTTCTCGATGCTGACGCATTCCAGTTTTTAAAGAAATAGTGGAATACATTAAAAAAAACCCACTTAATACACAAAAACAAATCAAATATTGACCCCTAATCGTTTATAGAAGTGATATACATTACAGATTATTACATTCCAATTTTCAACCAAAGTGTCATAGGGCTGAATTCCACAACAGGTGATTCTGTCAAAACGACTAAGAAGCATCAACGACTCTCACACTATCGTTGTAGTTCATAGCACAGATAATGAGATCTATGTTTGTAGTAACTGGATTATACTAACTAGAGAAGGACGAAGCAGTCAGTGATCCGAATCTATGTCTCCATCAACGTCTAAACAGAGTATCATTGCTTAAAGTATATTTGGGAATTAATTGAAAGAAGATAATTCCTGTATTTGGAGCTCTCTTCTTCTTATTCATGGAATTCCAACTGAAGCATACGAAGAACTTCAAGCTTTCAAGTTTCATTAGCAATGATGTTATTTTTACGTGGCAGCTTCACACTCAATTTGCCCTCTTTCATGGTTAGGCGAGGTCTATGAGTAAGTAGGATGGAAGTTGGATCTAGATCTACTTACCAGCAGGTGAAGAATCTACCAATTGACCACCGACGCACTCTGTAAACTTACTATTACGTCAGAAGCAGAAAAAACTAACTGAACAAACGGTTTTTGCACACAAAAGTTTGTCTTTACTCGTTCTACAGCAAAGAGCTTCAAATGTATCCCAGAGACGAAGAAATGTATAAAATGTCGCAGGTTTGTGTGAACTGGATAAACAATCTGAAAATCATTGTCAAGATTAGTTAAGTAGCTGTAGTCAGCCAAATATTTCAGAATAGCTCTTGTTTTTTTCACGATTTAAACACTTACTATACTACTAAAATCGGATAGTATTTAGACAAAAAAGTAGCCAGATCAGATTACTTCCTTTAAGCTCCTTAATAGAGGGTAAAAGAACCCATTTTACACCATGGACTAGTCAAAAGAGGCATTTTATTTTATGCTAAAATACATATTTGCTTATAATCCCTTTAAACCGTTTTACCTTAGTAAAACACTGCGTACTACTGTAGTGGACGATTAGTGCTTCTAACATTAATTATAATTGTAACAATAATAATATTTATTATTATAAGTGAATTAACTTTGAAGAATGTGGAAACATAAAATTATATATATATATATATATACATATATGCTATATAACTTTTCTCACAACACAAAAGAGGTGACTATTTTGGAACAATAACAGAATGGAATGGAATCCTGAAATGCATTTATCACACGTAGATATAACTAAATATTTTCCTTTGTTTTATAATGAAGCGTATTTTTCCTTTTCAGCTTTCATGAAACAAAGACAGTGAAATCAAAAAAAAAAATTTGAGGCAACCACAAACACACATATGCACAAGTCAGTGAATATTTTTTAAAGGAAATTCCATTAGAGACTATATGAAGTAATACAATAAAACAGTGAGACATAATTAACCTTTTTGTTATGGGAATCAAAAATAAAACATATATTGTTCGAAAAGAATAGCGAATTATTTCGCTTAAAATCTGCAAATTTTACTAACAGGAAGTGGTGATTACTTATTTTGAAGTAGGAAGAAGAAGGTTTGATATTCGCGCGGTTAAATTAAGGCATTGCATTGGATCCGTGGTAGAATCAGAAGTAGGCAATTTTAAACAGTCACTGACTAGAGATAAACCTCTGTCTAATGTTTTATGTTTTTCAATGATTCCCCTATTGATTTCGGTTCTTTTTGCATGAAATATGTCTTGAAAGACACACTTTCTAGTAATTTGAAGAAACTACTGGTGTAATTTGGCGTTGATGGTTCATTGTTCGCCAAACACCCATATGGTTTGGTGTTCAGTTCCCGAAAAACTCACTGTTAAACCTCATTCGGACGGCAGAAAGCCCTGTAAAGAGGGAAGGTTTGGTGTGAGACTAGCAACCCCACTTC